TTGGCATTTTTCCAGTGCAGCTGTTTGCTGATCAATGTGATATATGAATATGACCAATTTGAAACTGTGGGGAATTAAACTAATCTTTATGAATTCTTTATTTTTAACTGTAAAGAAAACATTGGCAATGGATATGTTATATTTTCAAGTAGACTTCACGTGAATTCTCTGTTAACCGGTGGTTTGTAACTGTAAGTTATCAAGTTTGGATGGAGAAACTAGACGATATGCAAGTACAAGTATGATCAAACAATCATGGAATATTTTCAATTTATTTTCTTATACTCCAGTCACTCTCTTAGGGGGGATGCACTATGTGTGTAAAGTCTTGGGGCATTTGAAGTATTAGTCTATACAGCTCCTATGGATCAGACACTCACACATTGAGAGGGGAATGAAACTTTTTTTTTGATCCATGTGGTGCATACCTGTTATTCTATGTCCTCTGCAGAAAAAGTACAACCCACCTGTTACTAGTCAATTCCTTAGATACAGTATTCTCTCAGAGTTAGCTGGCTAGCAATACAGTGGGGTGCAGTTTGGCTAGCTGTATTATATCTAACTTTTTTATGTGACAGATTCTTGTTTTCTCTTAAATAGAACAGCTGCAGCTTGTCTGTAGTTTGATTTCTTTAGGAAATGTAAAATAGTCAAATGCAGTTATAGAATACTTTTCAGTTTTGTAACTTTCAATCAGAATTTATTAAGGTTTTCAGGATGTAAATTACGTCCATCTTCTGTCCTGTAAAAACAAATTTTCATCGCACTCCTCTGATGGAAGATTGACATGTGCAAACTTTTTATGATATTAAGAGGAGATATGCGTACCTAAAGAATTCCAGGTGAAACAGGTGTCATATAATCATGTGAGTCACCATATACATAAGGTACAGGAATGGCATAATGGAGTTAATTAGGCCATGATATTCAGGGTACTCAGCTGGAGATTCTTTTCATGTACAGTAAATACTTGATCTTTTCAATGGGCAAAAAATTATCAAACTTTCAGACACATAATTATATAGTCACAAAACTTACAATTTTGTGTAGCAGTTGTAATGCTTTTACTATATGGTACTATAAAGTAGCCTGCTTTTTAAGTATGTTTCTTCTACTCAATATGAATGTTCTAATTTCAGGAATTTATGACTTAAAAATACAGTTTCTGTAAAATTCAGACGTATCTCCCTTTGAAAAATTGAGTAATTACTATAATTCTTTCAAATTAACTGCCCTTGTAATATATATAAAACTTTCAGAGCTGTGGGCTGATGTTCTTGCGAAAGGGCGGGGGGGGGTGGGGGGGGGTGGGGGCAGGGGACGAGGG